CCTATCATATAAATTTCGTACCAGATTTGAATTTACAAATCTTTATAGACTGATCAATGTACTTCTATAGTAAAGTGCCATGTTGATTGTTCCTCTCAAATATCTGGAAATCTATTTCACCGCCTCCTAATGATGTTTGTCAGGATTGTCGATGTATCTGCTAACCCCTCCCACTACATATGCAGTATCTGGTATCGTAAAAGTCATAACATACAACAGACTTCCAACTGCTGAAGCATACAAAGTTCTTCTCATATGTGCTTGCTCTGCTTCAAACTTAAGCGATAGTTCCTTAGATGATTTTAGAATCTTCTCAACATACTTTGCATAAGATAATTTTAGTGTACCTGTACTTCTGTCATTGTTAATTCTCTTCTCGAGGATATTTTTGGTTTGACCTAAATCCGTCATCTCAAACTCACCTGATAATTGCTCATTTAAATCTCTGATTTACTTCATATTCCCCCCCAACATATCTATTAATAAAAAAAAGATCAAGATATAGGAATTATTAAAGTTGTTGATGAGACAACAGTGGTCTGTCTGACACTTCATATAGCCACTGTCTGACATGAACTGTCAAATCTCTTGCACCGCTGTCTTGGGGTCTGATACAAGCCAGAGACTCTTCTTCAATCTGCAGATCAAATTTTCTTTTCCTAAAACCTCATAACTCTGAGGTTGCACCATGCATTATTTCTCATCCAGATCTCCATATAGGTAAACTACTTTTACATCCATTAACTCCAACAGATGCAGATCTTTCTTTGCTATTAAGCTCATCATAACTCTAACGGTTGTTATCTTCATCATAGGAGGAAAAATTTTAGTGGTCCATTCCTTCATTTTGTTGATTCTCCTTCATAACAAGCCTTGTCTTATAACATCTGTTATCATCTGAGTCCTCTTTCATCCTGTAGACCCACCTGTTATGTAGTGTTCTTTTTCCATATGATAAACCACTAACTACCATGTTTGATTTGACTCTAAGAATTGCATTTCATCATCCATGGCAAGCTCCCACTCCTTTAATTCTTTTATTTGAATGATCTCCTCACAGCACTTTAGTTCATCACTATCTATTAATAACAAATAGTACAAAAAAAATATCTTTGCTTCGGTCGAATAACTCTGCTAGACTTCCTGAATTCAGTAGCATGTGATTGAGAAACTTTCCGTGCTTTATCTGATTAAGCACTTCTTCTTTCTTATCCCTCCTGATCACCGATATCTTCTATCTCAACATACTTGAACTTTTCAGAAGAAATTGATGAGGAATCATGAGTTATGATTCTGTAATTGTACATCTATATTTCATTGAAAGTAACATTCTTGCTTCTGATGAACTTCGGCTTATAATAATCTCAAAATTTGTAGTCAAATTAATCTAAGCTATACCCAATGAAAGTGCATTTGATAGATTTCGAGCCAAGTTTGCCCCTGGAACCTGCATTAATTTGTACATATGCATAACACTCAAATGCCTTCAAATAAGATAAATCTACCTTTTTTTTTCACTCCAGGCTTCTTCAAGTAAGCCTTCCTTCGGAGGTACTAACGGACCAAGGTTGATCAGATACACTGCTGTGTTCATTGTTTATGTTCAAAACTGCTTTGGTAAGCCTACATGCTCTATGATGATTTTGTTCATACGCTCAATTAGTGGAGTTCTTGGAACAATGAACTCATGTCTGATCCCTTCTGTAGCACAGTAATTCTTGAATCTCTGATCACTATGCTCGCCCCCATTATTTGATTCGAGACACTTCAATTTCAAGTTTGTCTTATTTTATATCATTGTTTTCCACTTAAACACTTCAAATGCACAAGATTTTTACTTTAAGAAGTAAACTCATATCTTTTTGGTGTGCTCATCAATAAATATGACAAAGTAGTATAAATTTCAATGAACTGAATTCGAGTAGGACCTCATACATCAATATGCACTAACTCTAATTTTTTGGCCGCACCATTGACCCATCTTTAATATTGTTTATCATATACACAATATTCAAAGAAATATAAATCTACATACCCAAAGTTTATTCTTTGAAATAAGGACTTCATACCTTCCTTACTCTTGTGGCTAAGTATGTTGTTGCATTAGTTGGCATCTACATTGTGTCCAGCCACATCAATGAAATCCATCATTTCATTGATCAGATAAAGAGTGTCTTCAATGTTGCTCCGAGCCATATCCATTACCCCTAGTTATCTTCCATGAGTCACCTGTGAAAGTAGTCAGCTACCCTGACTTTTCCAGCTGAATCATAGAGATCATATTTCTCTTTATATTTAGAACACGTTCGACTTCATTGAGCTTTCATACTATTATATTTTGCAATTTGATATCCACATCATTCTTTCCTACGATATTACAAGCCTTGTTGTCTCCCAAAAAAAACATTCACTATATCACTTGAGTGTAATTTTTAAACACGTCTTTGTTGCGGCAACCATGAAATGAGGCGTCTTAATCTACAATTCAAGATTTATTACTAAAGATAACACTCGGGAGTCACCTTGAATTTTGCTAGCTGAGACATTTGTAGAGAGTGTCCTCCATCACTAGTCTTTCTTGGAGTTTTACAGTCCTTCTTGAAATGCTCTTTCTTCCTTCAGTTTCAACATTCTTCTCTATCATTTCCTATGTTTGATCTAGATTTTTTTCTTTCTTGACTTGAATATTTCTCTACCTATATTCCTACCCCAATTCCTTCATCTATTTTTAATATTAAATTCATAACCTGAGGATTCATCATTCGTTGTGTTTCTGCGAACTTTTTTATTCATCACCAATTCTACGATGTCATCGAAGTTTAATTTTATATTCCCAAAAGAGTTATCGTCGTGAACAAACCATCCTAGCTGTCTGAAAATAAAGACATAATTAAAAGTACTCTGACCTCATGATCAAATTTGATCCCCGCATAACACAATTGACTAGTTATAGTGTTGAAATTGTTAAGTGTTCAATCTCTGAACTGCTTTCTGCTATCTTTATATTGAATGATCTCTTCATAGAAAAAATCTTATTTGAAGCAAAAGATTTTTTATGCATCTTTGATAATGCCGCCATAAGATCCGCCGTGATTTTCTCATTCACTATATTGAATGCAATAGACGAGGAGAGTGACAAACAAATCAGACCTAGGGCCATTCAATCTAGCACTTCTCATTCTTTCACAGTTGTCCATTTAGACTTCTTGGTGATTTTTTATAGTGGAAAATATAATTTTTTCTGATACAACAAATCATTCACTTGTATCTTCCAAAACGTGAAGTTTGATCCATTGAATTTTTGCACTTTGTACCTAGCTTCGTTGGTCATTGCTCTCACTCGAATCAAATAGTCCACTTGGATACTGCTTGTTGGGATGGAAATAAAATCTTGGTTTTTGATCAATTAGAAGTCAAAACTATACCACAGAATAGGATCATATAAATTCGAGAAATCCATAACAAAATTTTGAGCAGAGCACACCAAGATTTACGTGAAAAAAAATCCAAGATTGGGAAAAAACCACGGAGTCATACCACCAAAATATTCATTATGATTGAGAGAAACTTACAATTTACACCACTCAGATCTTCTCTCTAACATCACAAAAATTTATAGAACATTGCGCTAAACTTTTTTCTATATCTCACAAGAGAGAACCCTCGGTTCGAAATCAATCTCTACAATCCACCTTCACAAAGAAATACTTCTCGAGAAACATTGCACGCGAGAGTTAATACTTTGTCAAATATCACCATTTGTGGTCACGCTGCTGCACAATATAATTATTTTATGTGCAGGAAGGAGAAGCTGAAGGATCGATCCAACCAACGTAGCTATGCCTAGTTGCAACGTAGTCATGTTGCCCGATATAGCTATGTCGGTTTAAGGCATGGCTACGCCAAGCAACAGGCGCAACAGTGCCCTTTGGAGGTGCTGGAGTGCCGCTCCTTCGGGTGTTGTAATGCTAAAGGCTCCACACTCCAACAAATTCGGCGCGGTCGCCTTTGTCCGTCATCGACTTCAAACAAATTATTTTGGTTCTTCTAAAGACATCATCCGTTATACCATTTCGTTGCACAAATAAAAATGAATTTTTTTTCTCGATGTCATTTATGAGAGCGGTCTCACCGCGAGAAGAAACAAAAGGAAAGATACGAAGGAGCGCCAATGGGATGAAATCAATCCGTACGAGGTCTCAGCATGGGGAGTTTTCAATGGAGAAGAAAGACATTGAAAACAGAGTCAAGGAGGGTAACAAATGGTGTTTTGAGGAAGAAGATGATTATACAGTGGGCAAAGAATTCTTCACCCGTTATATCGAGAAATAACATGCCAAACATGTCAAACAAATTTAATTGAGTTTAATCTTAATTAAACCAAACACTCATCTAGATTTAACAACATTTGGATAACTGGATTAGATAAATTCTGGATTAGATAAATTTGAATTTTTCGAATTCACTAAATCCCGTTTAACTTAAATCCTGGTTGCAATCAAATTCCCCCCAAGTAAGAAATATATTTGGTAGTGAATATCACATTGTTGATATCAAATATATTTGGAAATAAATATATTTGATATGATATCTGAACGACAATATTTTACATATATACTACAATATAATATATTATTTCTTAGGGTCTGTTTGAGATAATTTTTTTTTGCTGTTTTGAGTTTCAGACCTCTACCATAACTATTATGGGGAATTATTTTTTGTTTTTTTATCTAGAAATTTTTATGGGGAAAAGTTATTTTTTTCAACCTGATATGCTAAAGTATGGTAATTTTTTGAAATAAAAATATTTATAAACCCCTGCGGTCGGCCCGCGGGCCGCGTTTCAGGATAAGCAGCTTATCCTGAAACGCACAAGCTGCCCCAAACGGACCCTTAGTGTAACCAACACACAGCTCCAGTTCTGCGTGCTCTGTTTCCACTTACCACACCCCACCTGTTTTCTGGTCCATTTTTACACCATTGTCTCCTCCATCATTTAGGTGAGCGACAAGATGGATCCTTTGGAGCTGGTGAAACTCTGTGAGATTTTGAATCCTGACAACAAGCCCGGTCGATTAACCATAATTGCTCGAATGGGAGCCGCGAACATGCGGGTAAAGCTTCCACATCTGATCAGAGCAGTGCGCCAGTCCGGCCTCACAGTCACTTGGGTGAGCGACCCCATGCATGGCAACACCATGAAGGCCCCATGCGGCTTGAAAACGCGCTCTTTCGACGCCATCAGAGTAAGCAAGCAAGCACGAGTTTCATGTCCTTAAAACCATTCTTGTTATTTATAAATCATAAGCAGGTGCCAAATTTATCCAATTCTTATATAATTAGGTATCTCACATTAAAATTTTCATTTTTATAAACACGGCACTTTACTTATGTTTGAAAATATGAATTTTACTATTGAAAAGTGTGATTATTGCTGTCTTGGGTGCCGTGTTTGTAAAAATAAAAGTTTTGATACGCATAAGAATTGGGTGTTATGTTTGTAAACTGCTCTTATTTTATATCGTATGGCTATTCAGTCAGAATTGAGGGCGTTCTTCGACGTCCACGGACAAGAAGGGAGCCACCCCGGTGGAGTTCATTTGGAGATGACGGGACAAAATGTGACCGAGTGCATCGGAGGGTCGAAGGCGGTGACGTTTGATGATTTGAGCTCGAGGTATCACACCCATTGTGATCCGAGGCTAAATGCTTCACAGTCATTGGAGCTGGCTTTTGCCATTGCTGAGAGGCTGCGGAAGAGGAGAGAAATGGCATGGAATGATTGGGTTTTTGACGATAAGCAGAAGACTGTTGCTGTATAGAATGGGGAATGGTGTGATCGTCTTTGGACCTGCTGTTCTGCTTTCTGCTTCAGCGCATCAAACTTTTTTGTAGGAAATTTACATACCCTAGCAGACATATCTTACAACTAAGCTTTCATATTTAAATATATCATGTATTTTGCTTTTCAAAAGATGTAATAGTGCTATTTTTGATGTGATATTAAAGATTTGAGTGCTATGTACGTGAATATGAAAATTTAGATGTGAGATATGTAAATATATTAGAATTGTGTGCTATATTCATAAATAGCAAGATTAGGTTCAGCACATCAGCTTTTTCTTGAAGTACCGTTTGGTGGCTTTTTACATTTGGTATGCTCTTTTTTTATGTAATTATGATTAAATGATTAAAAATAAACAGTTTTTGTTGCTATTTTGGGTTAATATAACTCAGGTGAAGAAGTAGCCTTATGAACTAGAAATCTGCCTTCTCATTATATTTCTGAAGGTGATGCTTCAGTTAGGGCTAATGAAGTTCGTTTAGCCGAACTTTATATTTAATTAGGGCTGCAAATAAATCGATGCACTTGTGAACAACTCTAACTCGGCTCTATTAATAATCAATATGTTCAAGTCAATAAATAAATAATTTTGATTTGTTCAAATTTGAATTTAGTCTAACTCATTTGTTAATGTTGGAGTACAAGTTATTTGACAAATAATTTGATAAATGTTCAGTATTTATATGATATGTTATTTAAATAAATTAAATTTAATGATGTTATTTAAATAAATATTTAATTATAATATATTATAATTTATTATTAATGTGCATATAAATTTAATATAAAATTATTTTTATTTTGATACTAGTTTTTTTAGTATGTTTAATTGAAAGAAAATTTATTTATAATTTATATATTATTATTTTTATATGATTTAAATTAGTTTGATGTTAATTTTAAATTTATTCAATAACTTATTTATTTAGATTTATAAAATTATTTATTAGAAATTTGATATAAACAGTTAATTACTCATTTGAAATGAATTTCTAGCTTGCTTATTAATTTTATTTTATATGAAAAATCAAATACTCATTAGAATTGTTAATTTATAATACAAGTGGCATTTACACACATATCACATAATTTTTATTATGTGCTTGCATGTCTGATGTCTAAACTTTCATATATACATATATAACTTTCAAAATTTTGACATCATATTAAAAATATCACCATTATTAATTTTTTAAAGAATGAATTACGCATTTTAATGCATAGATATTTAATATCAAAGTGTTATAAACATAAATATCAAATTTTATATGTTGGATATATAAATGCATAAGAATTACTCGGTGCGTATGTAAATTTTCATTAACATAAACAAGTCAATTACAACTCTAATATGATAATTATAAAATTTAAGCAGATCAAGTATGAACATATATGTAAAAACTCAACTCAACCTCAATTTGAATACGAACAACTCATGATTTGACCAAATCAAATCCAATCCATGAAAACCGGTTAACTTTCTAGTTTACATTATTCATGATAAGGTATTATAGAGAATAAAGTTGTATAATTACAATTAAGTTGTATGAATTAAGTGTTATTAATATTTAAGTTGAATATTGTAGAACTAAAATAAATTGCATATTGAAGCCTTTAAATTCATTCATTCATCCTAGTTCGATTAAGAGGTTCTGCTGTTGCACACTACCAATCTCGCCGGCTGCAACATCATGATTGCTCCCCTCCAATGTTTGGAACGATTATTCGTTTCATAGAGAATAATGATGGTGATAATTTTTTGGAGATATTAAAACTTTGTTTGGCATGCATATTTATATGAATGTTTAGATGTCAAATATGTGAATACATAAGAATTGTGTGATATGCATGTAAATGACCCAAACATAAAAGAAAAATTTACATTCATTCCACATAATTCTTATGTATTTATATATCTAACAACTAAAATTTGATATTTATATTTATAACACCTTGGACCTTGGTGTCATAAAGCATGAAAATATGTATTTCACTGTTAAAAAGATGATGATGGTGATATTTTTGATGTGATGCTAAAGGTTTGTGTGACATGCAGTATAAATGTTTAGGTGGTGTTAGATATGTAATTACGTAAGAATTGTGTGGTGTTTATGTAAATGCCTCATAAAAAGAAATTATGAGATCAAATCACATCACAACATCTCAAATATCCTGCCTTGATCAAGTTCAAAATACTATTCAACATTAGCCATTTTATGTAAATATATTTTTCTTATGTATGAACTATATGATAATAGTTGATCAAGCTTTATGCACGAGATGGCTAATGTTGAATATTAAAGAAGGCTCACTGCCTCTTTTTATTTTCCCTGAGGAATCCAATTCTATCTCCCTCTCTCTCTCTCTCTAACCCTAACATGAATTCTCTCTCTTTCTCTTTAGATCTCCATCTCCCACTTGCTCTTATTTCTTCTCTCTCCTATTGTTGTATTCCCTCCTAATCTCCAAACTATCATAATCACATCACTTCCCACAAACAGTGTATAAATAAACATCAATTTATTGTGATCAGCAATACTTGGGAGACCTAAATCTAGGCCCAAGTTTTCTATTTGGGAAATTTACATACATACCACACAATTCTTATTTAATTTACATATCAAACACCTAAAGTTATATATTTACATTGAAAGACACTGCAGTGTCATAAACACATGCATAAATATGTGTATGTGGCTTTTAAAAGATAAGTGATAGTGGTCAAGGCATTTAAATAGAAAATTTAGATATTATGTGTGTAAATATATAAGACTTTGTGGTATGTACGTAAATGCCCATTTTTTATATTTATCTGGTACATTGTACTATGCATTTGGAAGCCATGGCATATGAGGCAATAAATTATTCACCCCTAGATGATGAACCCACAAGATAAGCATTTCACCAAACACTGGCAAGAAGCTTTCCCCACACACACACAGATGCACAGAAGTACTTACAAATGAACCAATGAATCTTTTATCTTCAGAAAACAACAAATGGAAAAGCGTAAAAAAACAAATTAAGTTGTAGAAAAATAAAAATGCTTTTCTCAAAAAACTCAACATCTACAACGACAATGATGCAGTTCTAATCACATTTGTGAGATGAGATATATTAATATGAAAGAAACTAAGATCAGATTGTACCAGAGTCCGAATTGCTTACGAGATTTAGGTCTCCATTGTTTGCGGACATGCGTTTGATTTTCAAATCGATGGGGTTCTCCAACACTGATACATTAACACCATTCCATGTATCCAATTTGGTTGGAAACCCTGCAATTTTCTCAGCAATCTCCATATCTTCAGGAAGAACAGAGCCAAAGATTGTATAAGTTCTTCCCCATTCATGGTGATTGGCAAGACTGATGAAGAACTCCGGGCCTCCACCAATCCAAGCTACAGAGCCTCTTTTGATGGTGGGGCAGGCTTCTACTGGTATGCTTTTGAAAGGAAGTCCTTCAGCTTCCAGTGTTCCTTGAATGAGGGCATAAGGAGGGCCAAAAGAAGCCTACAAAAGATTCAAATTTACATATATACCACACAATTCTTATATATTTACATATCTAACACCTAAAGTTTGATAGTTATTATAACAATTTGGTGTCATAAAGCTATGCATGAATCGGTGTATTTTACTTTCGAAAAGGTAATGTTGGTGGTATTTTTGATGTGATGTTAAAGATTTAAGTGGTATAAATGTAAAAAATAAAGGATGGTCTACGTACATACCATACAATTCCTATGTATTTGTATATTAAACTTCACTTTGTACATATCTGTCACATTACCCATGCATGAAAAAGTGCATTTAACATTTAAAAAGTTTAAATAGTGATATTTTTTTATGTGATATGAAAGATTTGGTGACAAAAATGTAAAAACCAAACTTTAGGTGTTAGATTTGTAAATACATATGAATAGGAAAGAAATGTATGCAAATGCCCCAAGTATAAATGATTCGGTGTTAGATATGTAAATGTATAAGAATTGGGTGGTATGTATGTAAATACCCCTAAGAAAAGGAAAATTTACATACATATTGTACAATTCTTATATATTTACATATCTGACCCGCAAAGATTGACATTAACACTTGTAGTACCTTGATGTCAAAATGTTATGCTTGAAAATGATTATTTTACTTTTAAAAAGGTAATATTGGTGGTATTTTTGATGTGATGTTACAGATTTATGTGGTATACATGTAAATATAAATGTTAAGGTGGTGTTACATATGTAAATATATAAGAATTGTGTGGCATGTATGTAAATTCCCCAAGGTAAGTAAAGAGGTCTTAGAAAAAGTATTTGTCAGGTAATACAATGCGGAAACAGGAGTAAGCATCACCTCTGTTACGTGGTTTCCCATGGAATCCCATGCGAGTCCTCGTCCCTCAGCACGGTATATTCGGCAACCGGCACAGTGTCGTGCGCCCAGTAATTCAACAATATAAGCCACAGAGTGTGGGGCGCAATCAGGGAAAAGCTGTTTCGATGTTAGGTATCAGTAGTGAGGAGAGAAAATACCAAATATATAAGTGATCTCGTTTAACATCTAAATTCATATCACTAAGCAATAAATAAGGTTAAAGCACATAAAAAAATAATCTAGGAAAACTTGTATACATACCACTGAATTACTATGTATTACATATCTAGCACTTGAACTTCAATTTTTACATACATGCCACCTTACCTATGTATGAAAAGGTGTATTTCACTTTTTAAAAGTCAAAATAGTCGCACTTTTGATGCGAAATGAAAGATTTGGGTAGTATAAAAGTTAAAAAGTAAAGTTTAAATGTTAGATATGTAAATACATAAAAACTTGGTAGTTTGTATGTAAATGCCCCAGAAGTATATTAATAAGTATTTTGACACGTGCTAACAGCTTTGATCTCTATCATTTACTTTTAACAACTTGTGATTCTATTATTCTGTGGAATCTTTGTACAGCAATATATACCCTATACAATTGTACTATTGAATATAATAAAGACATACTGTTTATCTCTTTGTTATTTTTTTGTTTTCGGTTTTCAGATTAGTGTTTATTTTCTGCTTCTGTATTTCTTCGGTTGTTTTTTCATGGTATCAGAGCCAATAAGCTAAACAGCTGCAGTCACACATTCTGTGGTTTGTGTTCTCTAATCCCCTTCTTTTTTCTATCTTCATAATCAATCAGGTGGGTCTTCTTCTCACAATTCAAACTCTGATATGAGTTCGGTCTTCCCTCTTGAAAACAGTCCTATCCATTATTCTTAAAAGACACTTATGGATAGTATCAGGACTGTAATATCAACACCACTTATACTAGAAAATTATCCCAAATGGCATTCTCAGATTTTTAAACTGATTTGGGCAAATGAATTTGAAGGTTTTTTGGATGGATCCACTATTTGTTCATCTAAAATGTTGTCCAATCATAAGGAACTTTCTAGACCAAATTCAAGCTAAAATTGTGGCTTCTTGTTGATCAATACTTATCCGTTGCATTATAATCTGTTTTTTCTTTATCAATGCTTTCTTCGGAAACATGCATTGAAATATGGAATGCAATAGATCGTTGAATGTAGTCACCTAACCATTCTCAAAACATCTACCTAAAAAAATAGCTTTATCTTCATTTTATGAAAGATCAAAAGATAACTCAATATCATTCAGCTGTTAAAGAAAAAAATTGATGCTATTGTTGCAGCCGGTTTGACAATGGATCCTAAGAATGATATATTATACACATGAATGGTCTAAACCCCAACTTATCAAGGATTTCGATATGACGTAGAAATCGACACAGAATTTGTAGAAATTAGGCAAACACAATTTTTCTGTAATAATCCAAACAACTTAACAAGAATATAAAGATCCACACAAAAAATTCAAAAGGAAGGCGATCTCCCAATTCCTACAATTCGAGAGATAAGAAATCTCCCCCAAACCCTAGACCTAAGACTCACAACTTAATCTCATGCATAAAAACTAACCATAAACATAATAAGCCTATTTATACCCAACAATAACAATAATAAATAACTAAATTGCTATTGGGTATACAAAAAATAAACTTGCTCTTAGACTAAAGCATAGACGTAACAATACTCCTCACCCTCGCAAAGACACCTTATCCTCAAGGTGGAAAAAAATGAGTGTTTCTTCTCCTCTCACACAGATATCTTTATTTTTTCATTATCTGCTTCATCATCCTGCACTATAAGAACTTGTAATCTTCGATCATTGCAACGGTGTCCTGGGGTAAACATCTCATCACACCGAAAACATTATCCCTTGGCTCACTTTTCCCGAATCTCTGTCTCTGTAAAGCGCTTGAGTGTTGCTCCCGGCCGTGGTCCATTATTCATGTCCTGTGCAACCTCCGTCTGGACTACACTGTCTAAACTTTTGGCAGTGTCTGGTTGCAACAGTTATGTACGATGCTCCATCTGTGTTTCTCCTGTTGATTTTCTTCATTTGGTTCTTATCTTCCACCATCTGGGCTAACTCCATCTCTCTCATTCCCCGCAGTCTTAGTAGTTGGAGTGTTGCCCGTATGTCGGGCTTTAAGCCCTTCATGAAATTTCCCTACTACTTCATAAATCCCCCACAGTCGTCCCGACAACAATTCAAATCTCTTCCTATATTCCATGACCGCCACCTTCTGAGTTAAGGCATAGAATTGCTAGTGTAGGTCTCAATCTCGAATGTCTCAGAAACGTTCCAACAAACAATTCTTAAATTCATCCCACAAATGAATTAAGTATCTAGCCTCCCTCCACTGCAACCAGGCTAACGCTTTCCACTCCAAACACAATCCTGCGCCATGAGTTTCGCCTCTTCATCTAACCCATTCACCGCAAAGTATCGATCTACCCGATACACTCACCCATGTGTTCCTTCCCCCACTTAGATAGGCATCTTCAACTTCCTAACTCTAACATCTCCACCATAACTTTCTCTTCCTCCGTTATTTCCTCCCATGTATAGAGGATAAAACTCATTTTTTTGACCGTAGCCATGTCCCCTCCCTGCTTCTCTCCCTTCTTCATGCTCCTCTACATTTTTGACATAATCTCTTCTCCATGTTTTGGCCCAACTACCTCCATAAAGAATCCCTAATCCACCCCTAATCAACCCTGAGAGGAGGTTCATGATGGTGGATGTTTTCCTCATCATGCTCCTCACCTTCTCTCTCTTTTCCTTTCGATCTTACCACGGATTCTCCAATCAACCTTTAGCTAGGACTTGCAAATTGAGCTATCGGTGGGTTCTTGGATTGCATCTCAATGAGCCTCTTTAGCATCTCTCGCATTCCCCCATGCTCTCAAATCGATCCTCCAGTCGGTTCTCCATAGAAGAGAAAATTTCATCCATGATGGCGAGCCTTTTTCTATCACAAATTTTATTTGACTCATCTCTTCCTCCAATTTCTTCTACATATCATCTACTTTCCTCCCGTAGTAGCACTCACTGTGAGCCGCGATCACTTCGCAGGCTGAGGATGCACTGCAGGCGATGATTATGAAGAAATAGAGATAGTTGCGGGGGAGAAGAGAACATTTCCCGAGGTGGTATAAATGAGTGTTTCTTCCTCAAAGTGGAGAAAAATGAGTGTTTCTTCCTCCATAGAAGAGACAATTTCCTGAAGATGCACAACAGGAAATGTCTCCCAAACCCTAGACTTACTCCCAACTTAATCTCATACATAAAATTAACCCCAATGTCTCCCAACAATAATAAAAATAAAAGACTAAATTATTCCTAGGCATACAAAAGACAAATTTGCCCTTAGATTAGACATAGACGTAACAAAGTACAACCAGGCCAAATCTTTTGGCCATTAAGTTTGGATGATCTGTATGCTCTCTTATGCAGTGAGGAACTAAATTTAGTTAATGAAACAATAAAGCATTTACAATCCTACAACTTACAGATTATTCTTCTACTCTTGCGGTTCCTAATCAAGGATGTGGCGGAGGATCCTCTAACTTTCGTGGTTAGAATTCTCCTTTTTTGCCAAAGCCATTGCTCTACCAAAAGAATTCTAAAATTTGGCTTCAACCTCTCGATCAGTTGCTTGTCAAATATGTGAAAAAACTGGGTCATGTAGTTATAACGTGTTGGCTGGACAATATCCACCTTACAATCTGCTCTATTTTCTAGCACTGTTGCTGCTACTCAAACGGACTGGCAGTTTGATACCGGCTTCTTCTCATCTAACTTCAAGTTTCAGTCAGCAATACCACTTAATACAATGATGCTAATCAAGTTGTCACGGGCTATGGCCAATCTCTTCTGATTTACCAATACCAGCAAGCTCTTTTTCCTACTCCGACAAAGAATTTGTTGCTATCTACCATAAAACATGTTCCAATTCTTTCAATTAACTCTCTGTTCATTGCCTAATAGCTGAAAATTCTTGCACTATTTCTTTCACCTCCAATGGCTATCAAATCAAGAGCTTGAAGACCAAAGTCTTCTTCTCAGAGGGTCTGTGTCTTAGCAGATTCTATCCTCTTCGTTCTTCTACATCCACTGTCACATCCACATCCACAACAGCTCTTGCTCTTCTCACGGTATAACAAATTTCAGATATCTGGCTTCGTCACCTTAGTCATCCTACTTCTGTTTTGTCTATGCTAACTATACAAAATTCCGAGTTTTGTACTTCTTCTTTCTGTACGTCACCTAGTTGATTTCCAATACTTCAGAAGTTATTCACTTTGATTTATTTGGTCCTTCTCCCACTGTTTTACTCTATGCTTATAAATATTACATTTCATTTATTGATGTATTTTCTAAATTTTATTGGACATTTTCTTTGCAACAAAATTTTGATGCGCTCAGCTGATTTGGTGAATTCAACCATCTGCTTGAATGTCAATTTAACACAAATATGAAAATTCTTCACTTGGAGGGTACTCACTTATAATATAGAACCCGCTTACTTGCTTGAAGCTTCCTACAACTTACCAAAAAAACTCATTCATTATATAATTAGCTACAACAAAATCATCATCTTATTTTTATGTAGTTGTATCAAATTGCAAATTTTGTTACGTAGGTCCTAGTCTCTGCCTATAAATAAAGGGTAAATGACCCGTGAGCATGTGAAATCATATAAACTAAGAATTTCAACAGAATCTTTCTTCCGTTGAATGGTGTTCTTTTAAGTCTATTTGACTTGCCCCTACCTAATCAAGTGCTCCGTAATCCAATTTTCTAACAAATTCTAAAAAAAAAAGCTAGCTTTTCTCACTCTTCTCACTTCCAACCATGATTTGATTCTCAAGATCTCTATGGAGGCACAAAAAACATTAGATCCAACAATCCCATAGGCCATAATAGTCGAGTTTGGGTTTCTAAACTATAGTTGAAGCATGATGACACAAGTTTGAAAAGATAGAAGTAACACAAGCACAAATTCATCATTAAGAAAACTGTTAAGTAACATCTTGCAATAAAAAAAAAAGGCATGCTTTGTTTAATTTGATAAATAAGAATTTCCTGATGTAACAAATATTTAACAAAATTTATCCGGTAAAATTTAAAAACATTTTTACTTGACACATACTTTAATATGAATATTTCCATATTCTGTTTCCAAGCTAACGATGCCCTGCATGATAAAATATACAAAAAAAATTAGAATTGTCACTTCATACATTTTTTATCAGAAATACAAAGGTAAGGATCATGCTGATAACATAGACTATAGTTAACAGTCCCTTCACAGGAGCAACCTTATAAAATAAAGGAGAAGAAATCAAGTGGGAATAAAAAGTCAACAACCCAAAAAGTCTAAGTGCTACCAGGAATTCAAAACTTGCGAGTACAGAATTTTACAAGGGCATAAAGAATATGTTTCAGATTAGGCAATTCCCCAACTATCGATAATAAATGCATTAACAAAGCACCAACTCAAGAAAAGAACAAGGCAGATCACAAAACTAAATCTTGACGAGATTTTCAATAAATCTTACTAGAAGAGGCAGTTGACTGCAAATGAGAATATCCAGTTTAAACTAAAGTTATGAAAGTTAATAATTTTGCATATTTAACACAGAATATAGGCGCAAATTGCATAAGATTCGAAAATAATAGGTAAAACAAATACAATTTTCAGGAGCTGCAATTGAAGAGCCAAGTAAAATACTCAAAACATTTCGACCAAAGTTAAAACTATGGTTGAAAAACATAGTTTTGTGCAACTTAAACCATCTAATTTTTGTGTAGACAACAAATGACATGAAGTTGTTTGAAACTTTATAAGACAAAATTACTCCAAGGGTGACAAAAAACAAGGTATAAAGCACTTTTCGGGGTTGTATGGTAAAGGTGTTAGCAGCTTTAGTAAATCCTGATTTACTAAATCCTGCCAACTATAAGATTTAGTTATTCCGAGATTTAAGGCAAAAGTTTGAAGAAATTGAAAAGAAACTGAATTGTCTAAATCCAGGATTTAAAAGCTGCCATTTTTCTATCTGGTAGGATTTAAGTTAAATCCAACTTAAATCTGTTAACATACAACCCCTTAATGATCTTTGTTTTTATTAAATATTTCAAATTGGTTCTAATTCTGTACGATGTCAATATTCTCATTGTTTTAATATAATCCATTGGGAAGTTCAATAGGTCTACCAGCTCAGTACTCTTTATGATGATTCAAATGCACCCTAATTGATGTGCAAAATAACTTAAATTGAAATTTTATCTGATAGAGGCTGTAAGCCTAACTTAAATAACAAGACCATAAAAAGAAGTGTTCATCTGCAAAACAAAATTCACATGCCTCTCCCTTTCCAAATATAAGACCAGATGTCCAAATAACTTTTTCTCCAAACTCTTGCAAATCAGGAAGCATGGCATCCTTCTGTTTCTTCAGCCAGCACTGAGGTGAGAGGAAGAGAGACAAAGGTAAGTACAGGTGTATATATTCAAATGGACACCAAAAAAGATGTAATGCAGAACCATCTTCAGCTTGTTGCATGCACATATGGCATAATAAGAGTAGTTCATTAAACATATAAGATGGTGCAGTTACAGAGATACAACCCAATTCAAATGTATTTTCATATCTAACACCTAAACTTTTGCTTTTTACATTATACGACCCAATCTTTCATATCACATAAAAAATACCACCATTTTAACTTTTAAAAGTGAAATATAACCTTTCATGCGTAGTTAAGCTGATATGTATGTAAATCTTTCTAAAATCAAACAAGCGCATAAAATGAAAGTCCAGTGACAATACAACTTGATAATGAAATAACTCCATCTCAATTGTATAATATACATTATATAATCAGTTGATCTTTTACAATGGTTGAAGATTAATCAACTATAGAATGGATGCAAAATGCCTCAAGCAAAAAAAATTATAGTATGCATTGCCATTTTCTCCAACTTTTTTGGGCTCATTGATTATCTTTCCCAGCGGACAACGAAACAGATCAAAACAAGTAAAACGGATTAGCAAAAATCTGGCTCTGCCTATAGGCAATCACACAAGCCCTATAAATCGTAAATGAGTTTCTCCTTTCAATTATAAAGTAGCGAGATGAATATCAAACATATGCAGACAGTAGAAACCCATGTCATAGAACAAGCTAAAGCGAGGAATAGGGTTGGAAAAAGAGGTTTAAAAAATATTGATTAATAATAAAGGAAGAAGAAGAAACCCCACATTCGACCAATCTCCGCTACCAACATTATGAAGTTGAACTGCATCAGAATAAACCATAGCTTGAAAAGAACAAGAGGAAGATAAGTAAGAAAGTTTTACCTCACCAAATTTCTCTCGGCAGCGTTCCCTGTCCCCGCAGAACACCCACGAATCGCACAAACAAGGCCCATCCACACCGCTGCACATGGCTTTGCATGCTTGGCAGCACTCTCTCGAGGTATTGAACTTGTGATCGGTTCCCCATTTCACAGCCGCCCCCCATAATTCCAAATGCTCTAATCCTCGGCAGCACTCCCCCGTCTCTTCTCCCTCATCCTCCACATCACCTCGCTTCAACCTCGCAAAAATCGCCGATGAGCCGCCCTCCGACGAGGTGTTTGTCGGATGGCGCAAGGCCCATGAGGTGACCGTGTAAACGAGGATGCAGGAAGTGAGGGAGAGAAGGATGGGGATTAAAAGCGAGCGCCGGTTCCCGCTGCCTGGCTGATCGTTCTGCTTCCTTCCCATTGAGGAAATGGCAGAGAAAGAGAGAACGAAGGGCTCGGGTTGACTAGTCGAAGAGGTAATCACAATAAGACGATGATCTGATCTCACCAAATCTCGATGGGTCAATGAAGCTCCCCTTAAAACAATGGAGAAAAATTAGATCTGCACGCCTCTACTAACCGTTGTAAGTGCATACTTTATTAGTATGCAATATTTTCTCTATAGTAGGAGGCATGGATGAAGAAATTATTAGGTATGTTTGGATGGTCATTCATGGGTCTATCATATTTCTCACAAATCAGATGTATGATGATGTGACAGGTTGTCTGACCATCATATCACTCACAAATGAGATGTACGATGATGCGGCGGCATGACAGTCCAACATTGAGACCTAATAATTTCTTCATATGAATGGGTATGCAATTTCGACCAAATCTGCCGGGTTAGGTATGAGATTACTAATGGGCTGTTTAGCTATATATTTGATCTAATGTTACTCTAATTTATCAAATTCATAAATTCTTAAATTTATAAACTTATTAATTTTTTATTTAGTAAATTTAAATTTAGGCTGAATTGAAAACAAAAATTGATTTACTAAATCCAAAAATTCGTAAATACATAGAAATCTTTTAGTTCTGTCATTTAGCTAAATTTAGTAAATCTGATGATAGAACATTTAAAAGCTCTTCTATCAAATAACTCTTCTATCAAATAACTCGTAAATATGCCTTCTCATTATTTTAGATTAATGTATTAGGCCTCCAGGTTTTGATTCATTTTGAATTAAAATAAAGCTAGTAATTATTACTAGTTTTTATTTCGACCGATTTTTATTAATTTTTTGTTAATGGTGAAATTTTTTTTGTTAATTTGGACATAATTTTATCTTAAATTCTAATATCACACATCAGTTCCAGAAGGCGGGACACCCTGACAACGCAAAACATAATGTAATGAATTAAACATATTTAGTATTATAAAAAATGAAGGTCGCATGCAAATGATAATAATAGTAATAATAAAGAAATATAAATTTTATTCCATAATTAATAGTTCATTAATACAATCGGAAGAAAAAAAAAAAATTTTTACTGAATGTAGACTGAAATGATAACAGAAATGACTACCTTGACTAAAAAAAAAAAAAACTAAAATAAATATTGAAAATTACTAAAAGAAGAAAATTTAAAACTGAAAAAGTTTGTTTCTATGAAGACGGTCCTACTAGTAGCTGAGCAGAGCCTATTTTGCAAAAAATTTAACGAGTGAGTTTGGCAAATAAACTCAAAAAATAACAATAATTTACTGAATGATAAACAATAAAGATAATGAAACATGTTATATGAACAACAGAGAGGGATGATTATACATACAAGATCACAAAAGGATTGTACACATCAAATATGCTCAATCATAATAAGAAAACATGCATTCTTTTAAATCAAGATTTACTAGTGCACAACTTAAAAGTTATTTTTATTTCCTTTCAATTACTTCATTACGAGTAACAAACGATGCGCATCACAATGCAAAATAAGAAAAAAGAAGTAACATGGGCGCGGCTGACAATTCCACAAAATAATCATGAATCAGCTACATATAACAATGATTAATGTTTTTTATTTGGAATGTCACATTTATCCACCTCAATGCGACCAACAAAAAGACAATTCTAAGTATTTAAGCAATTCATATAATGTTGACCAGTGGCCCTACATTAAATTAAGATAAAAAAATCAAGATAATTATGCAATTAATCCTAATTATTCATTAAATTAGGTGTAATGTAATTGTTATTTACTATTATTAAATAATAATAATAATAATAATAATAATAATAATAATAATAATAGAATCATTATTATTATTATTATGTTAAAACATTATTATTAATTTTTAAAAAGAAATAAAATATTAACTTAATTAAAGTTAACTTTAACTAAATTAATTAAAATAATTTTTACTCTATATATATGAAGCTGTATATAAAATTACAGTAATACAATAATAAGTTGAGAGATTAATAAATGTCCAATGATAAGTCTTTTAAGAACTCTTCTATCGACAAACACTAAATGTGCCATGCGATTTAGTTTAGATTGATGTATTAGACCACACAGGTTTAGATCCATTTTCAATTAAAATAAATCCAATAAATGTTACTAGTTTTTATTTCGACTGGTTTTCATTAAATTTTGATTAAAATTGAAGAATTTGTTAGATTTGGACATAATTTTACCTTAAATTCCAATGTCACATATCGGATCCGTAAGACGTTACACCCCAACAATGCAATACATGATAAAATGAATTAAACCTATTAAGTACTATTAAAATGAAGATTGCATGTAAATAACAATAAAAAAAAAATAGAAATATAAATTTTATTTCATATTTAATAATCCACAGATACAACAGAAAGAAAAGCAAAAAAATCGATTGAGTCAAAACTGAAATGACAACAGGAAACAACTACTTAGACCCAAAGAGAAAAAAATAATGAAAATAAATATTGAATTTACCAATAACAGGAAATATAAAACATAAAAAAGTATGTTTTGATAGAGACGGTCCTACTAGTGGCTGAATGTAACATATTATACAAAAATATCAATAAGTGAGTTTGACAAGCAAACTTGATAAATAACAACTATTTATTAAATCATAAATGAAAAGAAAAATAAGGCATGTTGTATGAACAACAAAAAGAGATAAGCATGTATATAAGATCATAGAATCTCAAGAGTACTGTACACATCGAATATGCTCAATTACTATAAGGAAATATGCATTCATTTTAAATCAAGATTTACTAGTGCACGACTTAAAAGTTAATTATATTTCCTTTCAATTATATATATATATAT